ACCTATAATGATACTACACCCCAAACAGGTGTGTGTTTTTTGTATACAGTGAACCCTCGTTTTACGTTGAAAAGAACCCGTGATAGGCAAAATCCATGAAGTAGTAACCTTTATTTATTTTTTTTACAATTATTAAACAACGAAATGCTCCATAATACATTTAAACCAATGAACAAAACCTCTTTACAGGCCCAAGCATTTGTTTAACAATTAAAAGTACTGTATAAACGTTTAAGTTTTATTTTTTATAAATAACTACCGTACTGTAAAATAATACTTTTAATCATCAATACAAACTGAAGACTTCAAATTGTGGAGATTAGATCCTTATTAAAACTAATTGCTGCCGTCGTCCTGTTATTTTCCTCCTTCTTTATGGACCGAACAGAAGATTCATTAATCCGATAATGGCGACCTAAAGCCGCTAGCTTCTAGCTTCCTTTAGCGTATCCAGAGGTTTGACTTTTTCTGCCATAGTTAGCTTCTTTATCTGCCTTTCGGGCCCGACAGCGAGTGCCTTTGTCAAAATTACGTTACAGGTTTTAGAGAAACTTGAAACTGCAAGAGAATTGGCAAAACTTAAATTTAGCAAGCAGGTAGAGGAGAAGCTGTTCAGCCAATCAGAACGCAGAACACAACGCAAATCCGTGAAAGGTGAACCGCGATATAGCGAGGGTTCACTGTATTTTAAACATTAATCATGCCTTAAATGTTCTTATTCTTTAATTTCCCGCTTGGTGAAAATCTCGAATCTGATGCAGTTAAACCATTTTGTGCTCTTGAATGTCTTAATACATGTGCGATTTTAAAATTTCACTAGAGGGCGACGTGGCGTCTCTGTTCTCAGACTGGTTCAACGTTTTGTTCCAAATCCATATTTCTCAGGGCCGTATCCACACCTGACAATGATCTTCAAGCAGCTTAAGATGGAAGGTTTCATGCAAAGCCGATGGGAGCACAAACATCCCGAGAGCCTCAGGAGGCTGATGGGCTGGTATAAGGAGGTACGATCTAACCCTTTAAAGCCTGATCCAAGAAGAAAACAAAACAGAAAAATTACTTTTTTGGGGGTTTGAAGTCTTTATTTGGCCTTTTAACAAAATATGTAAAAAGAAAAAAACAGAAATACATATTTTATGTTAATAATTTATTACTATGCGATAAGTCAAGATTATTTTTTGTGTAGTCTTCTTCCCTCTGTTATCAGGTATATCTGATTGTGTAAAATAGGATTTTTAGCAAAGTTTTTACCATTCAATTATGCAAAAGGAGTCAGACGCAAAACATTTCAGAAACCGTATGCTTCAGATATGACACATTTGGCATTACAGGGTTAAACACCAGAATGAAGGAATGCTTTTTGCCTGGCGATATTGAAACGGCGTTAATCCAAAGGGTGAATTCTGCCTCCGTAGGGGAAGCTGAAGTGTCGGGAGCACGTCACAAAGGGCTTTGACAACATGCCAGCTGCTTTCATGGGGATGCTTCAGGGAGAAAACCTGGGCAAGGCCGTGGTTGCAGTCTGAATTCATACCGGAGGAAAGAACCGCGTATATTCTCGCACTTCTGTCCATTTAGAATCCCAATCAACATGTTGGAGTACAGTCTTTTCAGAGATCTCATAAACTTGTTGTCTGTTCTCTTAAAAAAGGATAAAATGAAAGCATCTCTTGGTTCTGCTATCATAATATGTTCCTTAAAGACTCACGTCCCCTGAAAAGGATAAGGACTGAAACTGTTCATAATGTTTTATGTAACATTTTGGTCTCTAACAGGGACGTTTCAAACATTTACTACATTATACATTTTACTTTATGAATCTCCTGTTGGTGCATTTACATATTAAACACTTCACGTGATGAACCATGTGTGTTTTTGTTTTGTTTTTCAATGGAAGCCTTTGGATAGACAATCTTTTCATGCATCTTTTACCTCATTTTGTAGAGTTGCGATAAGGTTTTTTAAAAAATTCTAAAATAAGATCATGAAAACTTGAAAAAGCACGTACATATTCAGTCCCGGAAAAAAATCCAGACGGTAATGCAAATACTGTTAAGCTTTTACTGCCAGCTGGATCCTTTTGTTTGATCAGGAAGAAGGCTGATTATTTGAATTTCATGAGCTCTTTGTGGTGCTGAGAGGCAGAGCCATGGTTACAAAGGTTGTAGTCTGTTTCAGTCAGTAGTATATATTGACTTATTTCTTTTTATTGGTGAATCAAAGTTCAACATTTTTCATAGATGCTACAACTCGTCATGCCATTTTTTCTTTTATATCTTATTACTTGGTTTTTCAAAACGGATGCAAAATCATTAGGTGTTTAGAAAAGAAGATCTGTTCACTCCAACTTTCCAGGTTCATTATTGAAAATAACACTAACAGACTGTGTGGCACAAATATTGAATAAGATGAGGAAAAGGGCACCCAGATGGACATAAGTGGGTGATATTAGGACAGCATACCATGTAGGGTAAATCAACACAGATGAAAATGAAAGGGGAAAGGTTTAATGGTGGTATTTCAAGGGTTAAATTTAGTTTGAAGAAATGTGTCGAGTCATAATGACTTGAGTCATTAAAACCACCTTCAATGAGTTTCTGACGTATTTGCAAAACGCACTTTGAATTTGAAAATCGATTATTGTTCTATGAAAAAATAGTTTGATAACAAACAATCACGTCAAAGATTAGCAAACTGTTTCCTATATTTCAGTTATTGTACGTTATGCTGTCGGGAAATTACTGAATGGTAATATATACCTCTGGTCTATGCAGAATACGCCACATTATCATGGATTTTTTAAATACTAAACAGCAGGAAATCGGAACAGAGACGAATGACCAGGTAACCGGAAGCTACAGTCTTGTTGTGAATGTCAAAATAAATGCGCATGTTCTTGAAATAGTTCGATTTACTCATATTGCAATGATATAATAATGATTAATATAGTCCAAAGTATCGTAGTAGGTGGACTAGAAGCGTGGAACAGAGTTTTTCTATCTGTTTACAGTGTCAAAACAAATTAACATGCTATTGGTTTGCAAGTCAACTCCCACGGGTTTCCGGTCTTTCTTTATGTGTTTTTCTTCTGATTTATCATAAATAGCGGAAACGTGATACTTCTTTTGTCGACTTTATTACGGTAACTAACTCCAGCGTAACTTCATGACACCGCGTTATACTTCGTACATCTCCACAACTCTCGCGGGGCTACCACGAACGCACCTTAACCCTGTTGCATGCTGGGCATTGGAGTTCTAGAGCTAACACGCTCATAACGTCACACCTGTGGAACTTGATTCTGCCCTCTTATACCAGCAGCCGCTAACTGGTCGAAAAACAGGGCATTTCGAAACACGTCGTGTGTTGCTGAACACGGAGGTCTAGGTTCACTTACATCCAAGATGGTTCGCGAAGTGGAAAATTTGGCAAGTAGCTCAAAAAGTCTGTATCGAATGCGCGCGCAGCCGTTGAGACCAACCGCCATTGTGATGTTTGGGGCTCAACCGCCAACGTTCCTCGTGCTAAACAGGAGCCCAGTTTCAAAATGTGTTTGTTCTTCCTCATTGAACCTACCGATTTATTGTAAAATAAAATAAAAAAAATAATTAAAAAAACATAACCGCCTGCTAGTAATGTCTATCCGAATAACGTTTTTTTTTTAATCAAGTTTTCCTCCCCAGTTAGAAAATCTAATTGGAATTGTTATGATATAAAAGGGGGAAAAAGTAGTCTTCCTGCCGTACTCTTCACATGATTCACTTTAGCTAAACCATTTGTAAGCTTATTTAAATGTATTTTTGAATTTAAAAAACCGCCTTGGAGGATTAATGAGAGGCTGTGTTCAAAACAAAGTGGGCAAAGTATGTAAGGAATGGAGGGGAGAAGTCATAACCCTGAGTTCACCTGGTAAAATGCAGGAAATGTTTGATCAAAAGCTCAGATAACCAGCATTAAGCCCGGAACGACCGGATTTGAGTCCTAACAGGAAACCAAATCACAGTTTTATGTCTTTTTTTTTATTTATTTATTTTATCCTTTTGTGCAGGAGGATTTCAACAACCTCCTGAAGCAAGCTGGGGAGAAGCTGGTGGTGGTGGACTTCATGGCTACTTGGTGTGGCCCCTGCAAAATAATTGGCCCATTTTTTTAAAGTAAGTCTTTGTCAAAACAGTCTGTTTTCTGTCAGATAAACGATTGTCACCGTAGTCTTTGTACGGCCTCTGGTTGATGTTAGTCTCTGGCTGCTGAAATAAGTGGCACCTGTTTGGGGAGGGAGCCGGTTACCTAGGCAACCTTTTGTTTAGATCCTCCGCCTTTACAAAAAAATCCTGCTTGACTAGAAAATACAATTTCTCCGCTGCACACCTTTTTTGAAACCCCTTTAGATATTGAGATAACTTGAAATGTGGTTATAAAACTTCCCTTCGGTGGAGAGACTGTCAGAAGAGCAAGATAACAGCAACGTGGTTTTCCTGGCTGTGGATGTGGATGAAGCTGACGTAAGTCTGTGTTCGCCTTTTAATTTTCTGTTGGGTAACTTCCTTGTTGGATCTTCCTGGTTTACGACACTTATGTCTGGACCTGAAACATTTTTGTCAAACCTTTTCAGTCCTTACGGGATTAGCATTTGTTAACGGGACCGCAATGTAAACAAAAGAAGAACACCTTTTTTTTTTTTTTTTGGCTTGTGGTGCAATAGCTTCCTGGTGTGGTATTACCACAGGCTGTGTAACATGGTGAAATGAGGGTTGTGCTGGTC